AGATGTTTCATGTTACATAAAGTACTAAGCACAGACCTGATGGTAAGATGTTTCATGTTACATAAAGTACTAAACACAGACCTAGTGGTTAGATGTTTCATGTTACATAAAGTACTAAGCACAGACCTGATGGTAAGATGTTTCATGTTACATAAAGTACTAAGCAGGCATACACAATTAGAGTGTTTAATATCTTCTCAATGTTGCAATGATTTAGTAATATTTCAATTTCTCGTAATATATAGACACTAGATTTGTATTGCATGAATAAAATTTGAGTAAGGATCTTGACTCCACCTGTCACACGAACAATATTTTTAAAATGTATAATTCAGGATATTGAAATTATAATGTGAATAAATGTCTGTACAAATAGTTTAAGAAATTTTAATCTCTAAATTGTTCAGCTACAATGATGTAATCTACATTAGAATCCCACCGCTGCCACCAAATATAACAGGCCAGCAGTCATCCATATGCATCCAGCCACTGACCCCACTCAATATGTGACTGAACTAGTGAGTGCTTCCCAGGATTATACTGCATCACTGGAAATGCTTACTGGCAATACGCTCCCTTCTTATTCCTCGGCTCTGGGATATGACATAAACTCAAACAGTAAGATAAATGCCTGAGCGAAGACAAAACTACATCAGGGGATTCAAAGCAAATAAAACATTGTCAATTTGTGGCAGGCACCTATTATGTGCTTGACCAATTAAAGTTTTAAGTAAGTATACAAATTCTCCTTTTCATTCTTCTGTATATCTTTTACATACTTTATCTTGTATTTCATTTACTCTATTCATTTACTTTTTATACGTCCGTGTCCCATTTGTGCGAGTTATGCAATTTATCCATGCTGTCCTGGTCAAGTGCGTTACCTGTGTACCTGTCGTGTTTGTCACGTGGTGTCCTATATTCATGTCCCAGAGAGTTGGGGTCGGGTATCGTATTTGGGCATCTCTGGCCAAATACGTCGACGGGGAAGGACTTACATGCCGTGTCACTTATTGAGCCCTCTGGTATTAGCAGGACAGTTGCATTTTGCTTGATGTACAATTTATAAATAATACAATTGTAACATAAACTATTAACTTTTAGATAACACATAGTTTTGGAGACTCCATTTCAGTCGCTAGTATAGTTTCACCATGTCAAGAAAATGTGTATATATATTCTTGTCTAAGTAACTTCTAACAAATTAGTAGCTATTCCATTATTTTCTTCTATAGCAATTTAATACTATTATTAAATTGAGTTAATATTAAATTGAATGAATGTTATATTTGTGAACGCACGTACGTATGAATGTGTATTTATGGTTTGTATTTGTCATTTGTAGATATGTGTTTATCGGGGTTACCCATAATAAACTACCTAAGTAAACCCTAACGTCAGTGTTGAGTAGTATTTAATGGCCCTCGCAATGGACCCGGCTACACGTTTTTCTGCAAAAATCCAATTCTTCTGATGATTTCAGTCAGCAGGCAATTTCACTTATTATCCCAAACATTTGCTTTGTCTTCCAGAAATATTGCAAAACAAATCTATGATTTAAAATTCATCTTAATGTATCCCCTGAAGCTGAACAATGGGAAGTTTAAAACAACTGAGTCCATATAAATACTCCTGTGAAATGAAATCTGTCTTATAATATGGTGATACATGTAGTAATCAAGGGTCATAACTCTCTTAATATCTATGTCAATATATTTTCGATATTGAAGTGTCTGACGTCAGGCCAAACAAGATTTCTGGAACAGTTTAATGTCACCAAAGTGTTAGATCCTTAAGGTTGTTTCATGTTAATCAAGGTGGGAGGAGTAGCTTCAAAGTGACGCTGATCAAACTGCGTTCATAGCTCTATAAACACAATATCTTCGGGTAAAGCTTGTAGAGTAGCTTGCTGTGGAAATGTAAATATGTGAGCAACGTTTTATCTAAATCAACCCATGACCGGTACATATTGTATTTTAAGAGAAATAGAGTTGACAAAATTAACCAACCACACTGACAACCTTACGATTCCAGTATATCTCCTAACTTTGATATCGGGGTAGGTAAAATCAAGATATGCATCAAAATTGCCAAATATGATAATCTTGCGTTTAAATTGAATGTCATAAATACCTGATTTCAAACGAGATTTGCAGGTGCCGAATTAGCGTTGCATCGCCATCCAACGTCAGACGGACCTTGTTCTACATCCACTAATAAACTGGAAAATTAGAATAGATTACAAATTATCAATCTTACATCATGTTATCATCTAATAATTTCCAGTAGAAATAACTTATATTCCAGCAAATCAAAGTCAATTAGCTTCCAATGTTTAGACCAAGCACAGACTGGTACAACCGAAACACACTGACCTGGAACGTATGGTTAGTTTAACTTCAAAAAGTTTGTTGTTATTTATTTTTTATGCTTTATCTTTTGAAAACTTGAAAGTCATAAAGATAGCAATAGGCTTTATACTGATGAATACACAGAAGTAAATTTTATCTTGAATTATATTGAAGAAAATCTTTGGATCATCCAGATGTTTTTCTGGGGTTTTTTCAAAGATGAAGCTGCTTATACTTGCATTGTGCCTTGAGCCAAGGGAACTAAAATAAGTAAACTCTGACTGTAGGTAATTAGTCTGATGAGGGTTCTGATTTCACACAGATTCCACAAATATCTATATACACTGTATAACTTTACAGGTAGCATGGACTTATATTAGAACGAATGTTTATCAACGAAAATCAGAAACATGTGGCAAAATAAAATGTCTGGAGATAGTATGATCAGGGTTTAATGAAGAGCAAAGATTGTGGGATATCTAATTCCAGGTACCCTGGGGAATTATTACATTTACATTCTAATTTAAATCATCCTAGCTAATATATATGTACTCCCTGTACTTTCTGTAGGGATTTATTTATTATCTAGGTACCACAATCATTAGTATGAAACATAACCTCAATGTAATATCCCGGCCTTTGTTTCATCTTCATCTTCTATAAATTATCATCAACAAACTGCAAATTGCCCTCTTTTCCTTTTTGTATTTATTCATTACTCTTTATTACTCACATCTTGCTTTTGGAAACTTACACATCTAAACATGTATAACTAATGAGTTTTGTTGTACCCTATAATTACTTGATCTATCGACTGAGCATCACATAAATTCCATAATTCTAATGATTGTTAAAGTTGAAGGAGTGCATGGCTTGAGTTTGTGATCAATAAAGCCTAAGTACGGAAGTCAACAGTTACGATAACACTACAATGTAAGAACGAATGTCAACAGTTACGATAACACTACAATGCAAGAACGAATGTCAACAGTTACAGTAACACTACAATGTAAATATGAAAGTCAACAGTTACGGTAACACTACAATGTAAGTACGAAAATCAATAGCCACTACCCCATTTTCAGATAAGCAGTTGGCACAGAGAAGGGAGTTTGGAAATAAAGGTTGTCAAAACTCTTGAGAAAATTCAGAAAAATGACAAAAAGCAAAGGCCACAAACCATCATAACCACTTATGTAGAAAAGACAAAAAATAGAGAGATTTTCCTAATAGAGATGGTCTCTTCCCAGAGATTTCCTTATAGGGATGGTCTCTTACCAGAGATGTTCCTAATAGAGATGGTCTCTTCCGAGAGATTTCCTTATAGGGATGGTCTTTTACCAGAACTGTTTCTAA